TGTGCACAAATGGAGTGAGCAGACAATGTGTATCTCCCACCTGCACAGAAGGGCCCAGGCCCCAAAGGTGGGGAAACCTGTTCCAAAGAATCTGCTTAGTGAGCAAATTCTGTCCAAAGCTCTTCCACTGTCACAGGAGTAGGGCCCCGTGTGCGTCAGAGACACCCGCAAGGGGGGCAGAGAAAGGGAGAGGGCAAAGCAGGAGGAGGAGACGAAACCCTTCACGATCCTTTTTTCCATTTTAGTGACAAAAGTCACACGCGTTCTTTACATAAACATGGCCAAGGAGCCACTCTGTCTAAACTCACTTCCCTTGTAGGCGCCAGGACTTTCCTCCCCATGGCCCCAACATGCTGGGTGAGAGGCAAACCCACAAACCCCCGCGAAAGAACAGTGCCACCCAACAGCACCCATGTCTGCTGCTCTTGCTCTGGTTAATATTTATCTCCCGACCTTCCCTAACATCTCCGGGGCAGCCCTACAGCTGTCCCTTAAACGCACAGAAGGCAGACATGCATACAAAGCTTTCCACTGGTCTTCTGGGGCCGAGGCCCACACTGCCCTTGTCGCGCCACCTCCTCCCAAGTGTTTTCTGACCAGCTCAACTCCCAGCCCAACAGCCCAGACAGGCTCCCACAAACAACGTCACAAAGAATCCCGTGGAGAATGTTGCAAACACGCAACCTTCCCTTTGCTTGGCCGCCCATGATCCCATAAACCCATCTTGCAGGTCCCACCCGGAGCCCCTCAACACCAGCGCCAGCTGACCACAGGCTTCAGTTTCTCATGCTCCTGCTGAGCAGCAGATTTGAGTCCCAGACATGCGGCCCCCACGAAACTTGCCCATCACAAACACACAAATCCATCCACCCTCTGTCCTCTACACAACTGGGCCACACCTCATCAGGACTACAGAAATGGAACTCAGGCGTGATACCTTCTGATTCAAAGGTCCACAACTGCACTCTTCAAATGGGTACATAAACACACACTCCATGCCAGCTATACAGAAAACAAACATTCATAAACATTCATATGTGCAACACAAGACATTCTTACAAGAAAACACATGCTGGCAAAACTACACACAGAACCCCAGAGACCACACTCTGTCACCTAAAGCCACAGGGCCATATCCTGTAGTTCAGTACCAATGAGTACCCCTCCTGGCTTTCTATCTCTATGTATCAGGAAGGGCCCTAGCAGACCCCTCGCTGCCAGACCAGCAAACGGTGGAGCCCAGGAGCAGTTTACCTTGCCCCACAGCACGGTAGGAGGCACAATCTCCAAAACTCACAGCAACAACCCTGCCCCGACGGCGCGGCGGTTCCGGGCCCCTGCTCGCACTGCGCACCCTGTACACCCCAACTCTGGGGCGCCCAGAGGGCCACCCCTCCCCCTCTCTGCCTGGCTCCTACGCCATCGCTCTCCCAGAAGCTTGCAGCGCTTGCCTGGGATCACACCCGCCCCACCCCACCCCCAACCTGCCCCACAGAGGGAGGGGGACATTGGGCTGCAGAATTTAACCCTTCATAGGTGGAGTGATTGCGACCCTCTCCACGGCCCCAGGAGACCGAGTCCCCCAGCCGCGGCTAGCTGGACGCCATACCAGGGCGCCCTAAGTCGCTCCCCAGCGCCGTGCGCGCCCGGGGGCGGGGCCTATTCCAGCCCCCGACCCCTGCGCCCCTAGATCAACCTGGAAGGGGAGCGGTCGCGGGGCGCGGCCCGGGCCCCCGCGGCGCCGGGCAGCGGAAAGAAGGGGCCAAGGTAGTTGGCTCCCGTCCGCCCTAACCCTGCCCGGTTCGCCCCGGGGCCAACCTGACTGCGATGGCGCCGCGTCCGCCAGGCCGGGCTCATCACCGTGGCCGCCCCCGGCCACTCGGGTTTCGCCCTCCTCCAGCTCCGGCTCCAGCTCCTGCCCCGGCCCCCCCAGCGCCCGGCCCCGGCCCAGCCCCGCAGCCGCCGCCGCCGCCACTGACATCATCGGCTCCCCCCGCCCCGGTCCTCCCCCCCACCCCCACCCCCGGAAACAGTCCCCCCCCAGCAGCCGCTGCTGCTGCCGAGAGGAAGCCAGCGCAGCGCAGCCGACACCAACACTGGGCTCTGGCGTCCGATGGCCTTGGCCCGGTGGCTCCCACACAGAGAAACGAACGACGGAGGGTAGACACCTTGCGGGGCGGTGGCCGGGCTGTACTGCCCTAGACCACTCGCTCCCTGGGAAGGGACTTACCCCCACGCCCGCCCTTCCCTCTGCACACTCTTCACTCAGGAGTGTACATCTCCTAGAGCATGCTGCGTGTGCACATTTGCTCACTACAGACATGCACACCATACACGTTCTCCTGGGCCACAGACATACAACATGGTAGACTCACAGTTGGGCCCAGTGGAACCTATAGACCCAGAGTTAGCATCCTTACAGGGCAATAGCCCCGGGGGGCATCCCTCTTCAGGAATGGCTAGGGTCTTTCACTGGTGAGGCACAGGCAAGGAAGGCCCTAACCTGACAGAATGGGTGATCACATGGATGATCACTAGTACAGATAAACACAAAGCTTGGAATTTGGTCTTAACCAGTGGAAATAAATACCCACTCTGTGTCCTTGCAAATAAATGCAGGCCTTGGTGTGGGGCTCCTGCACTCGATGCACACCATAAGCCTAAGAAACATAAGAAGCTTAAGAAATACAACATACGTAAGAAACATACTCCTGAACTATCAATGGGATGAGTCTACAGACTCCTCCCTGGTGTTGTAAAATTTAAAACTCTGGAGAGGCCTGGCATGATGCTGCTGGTGAGGCAGAGGCAGGAGGATCTCTGTGAGTTGGAGGCCAACCTAGTCTAAGCAGCGAGTTCTAGGTCGGCCAGGGCTACACAGTGAGACTCCGTCTCAAAAATAAAAACAACCCCCCAAACAAAAAACAAAAACCACATCAGGAGACAGAGGAGCAAACTCTCAAAACTCTCCCGGTGGAGCTTTGTGGCTCAAGCCTATAATACGGGCCCTGGGCAGCAGGGACAGGAAGATCACTGCAAGCTCCAGGTCTGCTAGCAAGTTCCAAGCTACTCAGACCTATACAAGCTGTACAGCAACCCTCTCTCTCTAAACAGCAGCAGCAACCAACCAAACAAAGCCCACCCCAGCACTCCTTCAAACATTGTGAAGCTAAACATGGTGGCCAGGGCCTGTAATCCCAAGCATGGGAGACAGTGGCAAGAAGATCGAGATTTCAAGATTCCAGAGTACACCGTGAGTTTGAGACCAGCCTGGGCAAGACCTTGTTCCAGATAACAAGAACTGAGGGCTAGAGAAACTGCTCAGTGGTAAAGAGCAGTGCTCTTGCAGATGACCCGAGTGTTCTATTCCCAACCTCCAAATCAGGCCATTCACAACCTCCTCCAGCTCCAGGGGATATGATATCTCTGACCTCTGCAGGCACCTGCATTCATGCACATACACTGACGCACCCACATACACATAGTTAAAAATAAAGTAAAGCTTCGCACTGGAGAGATGGTTCAGATTGTGCACTCACATGCACATATCCACACATGCTCTTTTTCTTTTTCTTTTTTCTTTTTTTGTTTTTTTTTGAGGCAGAGTCTCAACAGCCCCGGGTGGCCTGGAATTCACTATGTAGATCAGGTTGTCTGAAACTCACAGAGATCCTCTTCTGCTTCCCAAATGCTAGGATTTAAGGTGTGGGCCATCACGTCTGCCCACACACTAAATTTTTTTAAAAAAGAAACTGAGGCTATAAAGATGGTTGAGTAGGTAAGAGCACTGGCTGCTCATCCATGTCCAACTCTCAGAACTCACATGGCAGTTTACAAACATCTATTCTGACCTCCAAGGACACCAGGCACACATAAGTGGTACACAGACATGCAGGCAAACCCCCATGCACACAAAATAAAATTTAAAAATAAGAATAAAGAAAGAAACAAACAAACAAAGAGCTGGGGAGATAGCTCATTCGGTAAAGTGTTGTCAAAGAAACACGAAATGAAGACCTGGGTTTGAGCTCCAGAACTCAAGTAAAAGAGCTGGGGAGCATGCTCAGAGTCTAGGTCCTTAAGCCTCACAAAAAGCCGGACACAGAATCGATCTTGTAATCCCAGCACTCCTCCAATGGTGAGATGGAGGGCAGCGTCGGTAGGATCCCCAGGAGCTCTCGGGTCAGCTACTGTGACATCGGCAGAAGCACACAGCAAAAGACTCAGTCTCAGATAGGTGGAAGGTGAGGACAGACACCTGAGCTGTTCTCTGATCTCCACGTGCTCACTGTGTCACACGTGTGCTCACACTCACAGTATGGCATACACACATACACCCAGAAAGGAGAGAGAGAGGAGAGAGAGAGAGAGCGCGCGCGAGCGAGCCAGGCAGGAGCATTGCATGCTTGAAATCACAAAGTTGGGGAAATGGAGGCACATGGACCTCTGGGACTCTTTGTCCAACCTGCCTAACATACTAGGCAAGTTTTGGCCAATAAAAATCCTGTCAAAAAAAAAAAAATGAAAAGGTGGACAGAGACTGAAGAAAAATATCTAATGTTCCCCTCTGGCTTCCACATTCGTATGGACATGAACACACACATGTACAGAAACAAACAAACAAAAAACAAAAAACACAACCCTTATAAAATGAGGCAAAACATAAACCAAAAGCAGTTTTATTACAGAGAGAGAGAGAGAGAGAGAGAGAGAGAGAGAGAGAGAGAGAGAGAGAGAAAGAGAGGAGGAGGAGAGTGAACTTGGAGTCATAGCAACAAAGACAGAAAACAAGCCTGGAATGGTGGTACACACCTATAATCAGCCTGGACAACACAGTGAATTCCAGAATAACTCGGCCTATAGAAAGAGCCTGTCTCTTTCCCCTCACCCCCAAAACTTACTCCAAGCCAAAAAACAAAAAACCAACCCCCCAAATAAACAACAGACCAGAGTTGGAATTTATGAGAAAATAATCCCCCCCCCAGGAAGGTTCCAGGGAAGAACCTTACCCCTACTCTAACCAAGTCACAATGGCTGAAGCTCTGAAGGGGATCAGGCAACCGGACCCAGGAGGAGAGGAGGAAGTCCAAGAAGAGTTGGTGAGTCCTGGGGCAAAGGGGAATAGTGGGGGCAACATTCAGCATCTGGATATTTCTTTCCCTCCTCCTCTAAACTTCCCAGTGGTCCTGGAGACACCTACAAGTGAAATTCATAGTGAGGTACCCAGAAGTCCCTGGAGCTTGTGACATCATATGGATACACAAGCATTTGAAGCTAACTCCCTTTCCTCACATGAACAGAGTACCTTGGGTCCTCTCTTTTTTTTCCTCCCGGGAACATGATCCAGAGAAACATGGTCCAGGACTATTCATCCCTGCTTCCTGCTTTTAGATGCTCAAAGATGGCATTGTACCACCTCATCCATCTTCAGGCCCTTTCTAGTTCCTATGAGTTCCTCTACTATTCTGAAGGGTCCAAGATCTCAACCTGGTACTCACCCTACCCCAAGTTGCCCAGGCTGTGGTGGCCCTCATGTCCAAGCTCCTTTCTTCCTAACAGGATGCCGGTTATCCCTATTCCAACTTACCTGACTTCACCCAGCCATCACCGCCCTCCACTCCAGCCAGCCTCCCCTCGAACCATCGCTGCGGGCCCTCCGATGCCACCAAGGGTCTGTTTGTGGCCTTGCTAGGTGGAGGACTGTCTGCTGGCTTCGTGGGCCCGTTCTCCCGTATGGCTTACCAGACCTCCCACTTGCCCTCGCTGGAGCTGCTCATCTTTCGATGCCTCTTCCACCTCCCCATTGCCTTGTTACTTAAGTTTCGTGGTGACCCACTGCTGGGACCTCCTGATGTTCGGGTTCGGGCCTTCTTTCATGCCATGCTCAACGTCCTCAGCATTGCATGTGCCTACAGTGCGGTCCAGGTGGTGCCTGCAGGCAACGCGGTCACTGTTCGCAAAGGTTCTTCCACCGTGTGCTCGGCCCTCCTCGCACTCTGCCTTGAGAGCCAGGGTCTCAGTGGCTACGCCTGGTGTGGCCTGTTTGGCAGCACCCTTGGACTAATCATCATTGTGGGACCTGGACTAGGGACATTGCAAGAGGGGACTACAGGCCTCTACACAGCCCTGGGCTACGTACTGGCTTTCCTGGGAGGTCTGGCGCTGTCACTGGGGCTACAGGTTTACCGCTCTCTACACTTCCCCTCCTGCTTACCAACAGTGGCCTTCCTCTTCGGCCTGGTGGGGCTGATGGTCTCTTTACCGGGCCTCTTTGTGCTGCAGACACCGGTGCTACCCCAAGACCCTCTGAGCTGGAGCTGTGTGGTGGCCGTGGGGCTCCTTGCCTTGGTTTCTTTTGTGTGTGTGAGCTACGCGGTCACCAAGGCCCACCCTGCCCTGGTATGTGCTGTCCTGCACTCCGAGGTGGTGGTAGCATTGATGCTGCAGTATTATGTGCTCTATGAGGCCGTGGCACCCTCTGACATCATGGGAGCAGGGGTTGTGCTGGGCAGCATTGCCATCATCACCGCCCAGAACCTCAGCTGTGAGAAGGAAGGGCAAATGGAGGAGTGAAATCGAACTGGAGAGCCCGGGGGAGGGTGGGGCAGGGGTAATAGGAGAGACTGGAATAAAAACTATGGAAGCACACATGCCTCAAAAAGAACTGGTGTGGAGGGCCAGTGGGATGGCTCCGCAGGCAAAGGCTGGTGCTTCGAAGCCTGAGTTCCATCTCACATGGTAGAGGAAGAGAGCTGACGTCTACAAACGATCCTTTCTACGTGTGCGCTGTGGTCTGCTCACACCCACACACACACAATAAAACATGTAAAGACAAAAGAGAAGGATGCCCTGGGATTCAAGGGTGACTTGGGACTTGATGGAGAGGAAAGACCTGAAGCAAGACTAGGAAGCCAGGGCATGGGCTTGAGGCTGGGCCCAGGGATAATGGCATAATTAAGCTGTGAGGTCTCAGATCCAAGGGACTGAGGACGTCTGGTAGCGGGCCACGGTGGATAATCCCACAGACAGGAAAGAGAAGAGCATCAGGGATGAAGTATGCAGGTTGTCTGGCAAACAGCAACTGCACTGGGGGAGGGGCGTGTTCCTTTTCCCTAGGGCTCCCTGTCCGGGTGGTGACGTAACACTGACATCAAACAGGGATCACTAAGGCTGTGCGGTCGGTGCGGTCGGTCGCGTTGGAGAGAGTGGAGACACGCTCTCGTTGGAGACCCCCTTGAGACACTCCGCCGCCCCCTTCTTTCTGAAAGGTGGAGGATTTCCTAAACGTTCACATTCCTTGACCTCGAATTCCCAAGGACTTTCGTCTTCTGCCCCCACCACTAATCTGCTTTTCTCGGATTGTCGCGGTCGCGTGACCCGCGGCTCTCGGGTAGCAGCCATCCCTCTTCCAGAACAGCTTTCAAGCCGGAGGTCCGAGGCCAGGGGCTCCGCGTGGCCCTCCACGAGAGGACAGGAGGGGCCCCGCCATCCTGGGAGGCCTCTCGACAAATACCGACGTCCCGCCGCTCGGGCGCGCCATCTTGGTACAGTCTTATGCATATTCAGCGAGAAACTGAATATTCAGGCCCGCGGGCCGGCCCGTCGCTCCCGCCCTCTCCGGAACACCCTCGGGAGGGCCCGACCGGCCCCGCCTCCGTGGCCGCGGCGTAGAACGAACCACTTTCCGGGCGTGTGGGGGGAGGCAGCGGTGAGACACTTGGGCTGAAAACGAGCCTGTACTCCACCGCCGGGGACGGGCGGCCTAACGTGGCCCTCGACTCTGCAAGCCGGCAGCCTGAGCGCACGGGGAGTCGGCGGGGGCGCGGCGGCGGCGGGAGCAGGAAGATTCTCCTCCTCTTGTCACGTCAAAAGAACACCCAACCAGCGGGCCGCAGCCCGAGGGTCAACAACCCGGGCTCGCGCGCTCCGTGCCGGCCGGTGCGGGCGGCCCCGTAGCGCAAGGGAGGGCGGGAGAGGAAGGGGCGGGACACGAGGGCGAGTCTATAAAAGGCGTCATTCAGCCAGGTCTCTCCTCAGAAGCGCCGAGAGCGCGGCCGGGACGGTTGGAGAAGAAGGTGGCTCCCGGGAGGGGGAGAGACAAACTGCCGTAACCTCCGCCGTTCGGGATCCCGGTTACTTATTTATTCGTTACCCCCTTCTCTTCTTCCTCCCTCCCAAAACCTCCTCCTTTCCTCCCTTCTTTTGTTTCCTTTTGGGGGAGCCGAAAAAATCTCCGGAAAGGGAGAAAAGGCTTTCTTTCCGCCCTCTTCGCTTCCCCGCCTCCTCCCCTCCCCCACCTCCCCCCCCCCCCCCCCCCCTCCCCGCCCCGGCCTTTTCCCTCTCTTCTCCGGGAGATCTTTCCCTGTGGCCGCCCGGACGAGGTCTGAGCGCTTAGGCGGCGGTGGCGCAGGCTTTTTGTAGCGAGATTTGCGCCTGCGCAGCGCGCCTACTTCGCCATGCACGGGGGAGGCCCCCCCTCCGGGGACAGCGCATGCCCGCTGCGCACCATCAAGAGAGTGCAGTTCGGAGTCCTGAGTCCAGATGAGTTGGTAAGCGTCTCTCCTTCCCCTTCCCGTGCCTCCGGTGATCCTCTGGGAGGATGGGCCGACGACGCTGATGTCGTGCGGGGTCCAGCCTTCGGGCTCTCTAAATTATGCCAGGATTGAAACAGGCTTATAGGGCTGCTGTGTCTGAGAGATGCGTGGCTGGGCAGAGAAGATGATTCTGTACTTTGGAATTGTCCAGATCCGGATCGTTGAAAGTTTGGATAGGAAGTGGATTCTCAAGTTGGTTTTTTTTTTTTTTTTTTTTTTGGTTTTTCGAGACAGGGTTTCTCTGTGTAGCTTTGCGCCTTTCCCTGGAACTCACTTGGTAGCCCAGGCTGGCCTCGAACTCACAGAGATCCGCCGGCCTCTGCCTCCCGAGTGCTGGGATTAAAGGTGTGCGCCACCACCGCCCGGCCTCAAGTTGTTTTTTTTCTTCTCCTTCCACAAATATCGGACACTCTGGTATGCGACAGTCCCCAGGCACTAGGGACACAGCTGAACAATATAACAAGGACCCCATCTTCTAGAACATTTTCTGTGGGAAAACATCAGGGAAGACACAAGAATAAAAAGAATGAGCAAAAATAATTAAGAGCCTAGAATAAAGTGAAACAAGGAAATTCTGTAAAAAGTCACTGAAATTGAATGATGTCAGGGTTTGCTCCCTGTCAGAAGAAGTGACATTACCTGAGTAATGAAGAGTATCAGTTCTCTAAGCCATAGATTGTGGGGGAAGGGTTTATTTTCAGGTAGAGGAAACGAGGAACTGAGGGAGAAATAACCTTGTATCCTAGAGACGGAAAAGCCAGTGTTGGGGCAGGGGCTAGTGGGTGAGGAGTTAGTGTTACAAAGTATGCTGAAGAAGCTTGGAATTTTGTAAATCCTGCTAGAGTTAGAATTCTATTTCAGTAACCATTGGATAACTATAAACAGAATGATAGGCACGTAGGGTAGATCTGTAAAGAGCTGATGGGAAGTGGATGAAGATAGACAGCAGTGACCATAGAGGGTTAGTCTTAGGGGATAGCTTTTGGAGACTTGGACTTCTTCCTGCTGACCTAACAGGAGAGAATGGAATTAAATGGCTGTGTTTCTGGACTGAGACAGTTCTGTTGGAAAGAGTTCAGCTATGGCAGAACTCACAAAAACTAAAAAAAAACCTGCATTGGTTTTCAGGACACCCAGACCACGGAATGAATTCCAGATAAATATTTAAACAAAGTAATAAAACACCAAAAAAATACAGGCTTTTAGGGGAGCTACTACCAGAGTATGAACACTTATATTAGTAAGTTAAATAAAGGTAAATTTTATGGTAAGCTGATGATAAGCTAAGCGTTGTACATGAAAGAGTAAGGCAGATTATGAGCCACTCTGTTTTTATCAGAGGCTCTGTTGACAGAGCTTAAAAAAGAAACAACAACTGGGGGCTGGAGAGATGGCTCAGGGGTTAAGAGCACTGCCTGCTCTCCCAGAGGTCCTTAGTTTAATTCCCAGCAACCACATGATGGCTCACAACCATCCGTAATGAGATCTGGTGCCCTCTTCTGGCATGTAGCTATACATTCAGGCAGAACACTCTATACATAGTAAATAAATACATCTTAAAAAAATAAACTGGGAAACAATTTGAAATGTGATGGACAGGGTTTGATTTTTCAGTTTTTACTGGAGCTCAGAGTCAGTCTGTCTTGTGCATGGTAGACAAGTGCTCTGACCATTTAGCTCCAATATCCCCAGCTCTTGGTGTTTTGAAACAGAATCTCGCCCGAGCAGTGGCGGTGCACGCCTTTAATCCCAGCACTCAGGCAGATCTCTGTGAGTTCAAGGCCAACCTGGGCTACAGAGTGAGATCCATGAAAGGCGCAAAGCTACACAGAGAAACCCTGTCTCGAAAAAAACCAAAAAAAAAAAGTGAAACAGAATCTCGATATTTAGTCCAGGCTGCCCTGGAAATGGTGATTCTTCTGCCTTAGTTTTCTGAGTGCCGAGAGTATAGGTTTGTACCACCATACCTGGTTTGGTTAGATTTTTTTTTTTTTTCAAAATTAAAAAAAAAATTAGGCTAGGTGAAAAATGTCTTCAGCAGTTAGGAGCACTTGTTGCTCTTTAGAGGCCCCCAGTAGTGAGTGGCTCACAGCCATCTGTAACTGGGGCCTCCAGTTACAGGGGATCTGATGCCTTCTTCTAGCCTCTCTGGGCACTGTGTGCACATGGTGTGCAGGCACAACACTAATACAGATAACATTCTTAAAAAAATAATTTTAAGAGGCGTATATGCTTGGCTGTGTCTCGTGCGCAGGTGTTTGTGGAGGTGGAAATAAATATATAGGCCCATGAGCCACCTAGTGTGAGTGCTGGGGTCTGAACTCTGGTCCTCTGATGGAGCAGTAAGTTCTCTTAACTGCTGAGCCATTTCTCCAGCCTCAGCTAGATTTGTTAGCACACAAAAGGAATTAGGGGCAGACATGGTGGCACATGCCTTTGATTCCAGCACTCTAGAGACAGAAGAGGGAGGATCTCTGTGAGTTCCAGGCCAGCCAAGGCTACATACAGTGAAACCCTGTCTTGGGGAAAAAAAAAGGAATTCTGCATTATTAAGAAATGGGCCGGGCGGTGGTGGCGCACGCCTTTAATCCCAGCACTCGGGAGGCAGAGCCAGGTGGATCTCTGTGAGTTCGAGGCCAGCCTGGCCTACCAAGTGAGTTCCAGGAAAGGCGCAAAGCTACACAGAGAAACCCTGTCTCGAAAAACCAAAAAAAAAAAAAAGAAATGGGTAAGGGGTGTGTGGATAGACAGTTGGCAGAAGTAGAACAAGTGTTCATTCAGTTCATCATTTGGTTTACCAAGGGTTAGAGATTACCTCAGTGGTAGGGGCACTACGGTTCTGCCTTTGGTCCTCAACTCAAAAAAAAAAAAAAGCTTAATAACAGGTTAAAAGAGTTTCCTGGCCAGGCAGTGGAGGCACACACCTTTAATCCCAGCACTTGGGAGGCAGAGCCAGGCGGATCTCTGAGTTCAAGGCCAGCCTGGTCTACAGAGTGAGATCCAGGAAAGGCACCAAAGCTACACAGAGAAACCCTGTCTCGAAAAACCAAAAAGAAAAAAAAATTTAAAATATTGTTTAGATTTATTTATTTTGTGTGTGTGAATGTTTTGCCAGCATGGATGTATGTACACCATGTGTGTACCTGGTGCCTGGGAGAGTCAGAAGAGGGCATTGGAGCCCCTGGAACTGGACCTACCGTGTGGTGCTGGGACTCAAACCCGGGTCCTGGGCAAGAGCATCAAGCGCTCTTAACCACTGTGCCGTCTCTCTAGTCCCCTTGCTTTCCTTTGGCCACTCTGACCTGCTTGTCTTTTAACAAGCTTGTTATTGCTTCAGGGGCTAGTTAATCATTGTCTCTGCTGCTTGGAATAGCACTGTCCAGACCTCTTCTATGCCTTGTTCTTCAAGTCAGTGTGGTCTGTGTTTAGATGTTTACCCTGACCATTTAAATAGCATCCTTTATTCTGGAACCCTTACCCTCTGTTTTAATAGCCTGTCACTCTTAGAGGGTTTTTTTTTTAAGTTGTTGACTATAGAATGCTGTTACCCAGCATTTCCAGTAGTTCCTGGTACTGACTGGCATGTAATTAAAATTATTTGGGTAAATAAGTGAATAGTTGTACAAATAGACATTTGAAAGGATTATTTATTTTAAACATTTGAAAATGACACCTGTAAGTCACCTAAATATTATATTTTTTTTGGTTGTCAGCCTAGCCTTTAACGGCTGAGCCATCTCTCCAGCCCTAAATATTATATTAGTAAATGCTAATAGGAACCCTTCTTGAATAACTTAGGTCCTATCTTTATAATAGAACAAGACTACCCTAATAAACTAAATCCAATGTTCCCAGGCTTCTGTCACATTTGAGGCAAAGTCACAGGGGCATAGGGATTGTTCTGCCCTCGGGAGAGAAGCACAGGTGCTCTGTGGACTACTAATTGCACGTGGTTCAGTTTCAACATTAGATGGCGCTGGATCTCTTTGAATGACATCATATCTTTGTGAAGCCGAATTGGTTTTTGTTTGGTTTAGCTTTTTTGTTTGTATTTTTATTTAATTGTGTTTGTATATGTCAGCGTAGAGCTGTGTGTCTACTGGTGCAGGTGCTCACAGATATCAGAGGTGACAGATCCCCTGGAGCTGAGTGCAAATGTTTTGTCAAAAAATAAAAATAAAAGATTTGGGGTGTGTATGCCATGTTATGTGGGATGCCTGGAGAGACCAGAAATGGTGTTGGATGCCCTGGCACTCATGTTACAAGTGGTTGTGAGCCAGCAGACATAGACACTGAGACTCCAACTCCAGTCATCTGCAAGAGTAATACGTGGGGTTTTGTTTTGTTTTTGAGACAGGGTTTTTCAGTGTAGCCCTGGCTGTCCTGGAACTTAGTTTGTAGACCAGGCTGGCCTCAAACTCAAGAGATCTGCCTGCCTTTGCCTCCTGAGTGCTGGAATTAAAGGCGTGTGCACCACACCTGGCTCTCCACTATGTGTTCTTAAACACTGAGTCATCTCTAGCTCCAGTTGTTTGTTTGTTTGTTTTTGAGACAGTGTTTGTGTCTCATCTCTGGGATTACAGGCCTATGCCACTGCACCCAACCACAGAGCTGCAGTTTTAGCAGTTGCTAAGGACTAGCAGATTTGGAGCAAGAAATAAGGATGGTATTAGCTTATCTGATCCCAAGGATTGAGAATTTGTGGGGTTTTTTTT